GGTTCAGTTGTTGCTCTGTGTGTTTGCTGAATTTTTGTTATTAATTATTCATTTTGTAAGTGTCCAGCCTTCGTTTCAGTTGGTAGATGCCCATGCAGGGTGGAGGAACAGGTCCACTTTAATGCTGGTTCATACCATTTTCCAGACCAGATCTGGACCATAGTGCTTTGCTTTTTTACCGCGATTAGAAATGTAAAAACATTTTTTATTTTTTTTTTTACATTTAGGACAAGCAGTATTTTTCTGGTCTGGAACGGACTGCGCTGGTGGGAACAGAGACCAGAAATAGCATAGGGATACATTAGGATGCATTTTGGGTCTGGAAACGGTCTGGTCTGGAGGTAATCTGGATGTGATGTGAATGGGCCCTAATGCCAGCCACTGCAGCTGCACATACTCATCCATACGTTACTCCGCTAGGTTCAGGCAGAAGCCTTAAGACTTACACAGGCCTGAGAACACTCTTCCACCCCCTGCGAGAGCGCTGGGAGCCTTAGTGGCCAAGCCCCAATGCTGTCATGTAGAAGGAAGGTAGGGGGGCCCATGCCCCCCCATTCCCCTCATACCTGGAAGTATTGGGTATTACTTTTCTCTCCCAGCAGCAGAGGAGCTAAGGGTGGAGGAGTATGTGTAGCTAGGTTTGTTTTGAAGCATGATACGCACAAGAACATACAGTTTCACTGCCTTCTGTTTCTCTCCTTGTACAGGGTGACTGGTCTTGTCTCCGCCCCCTCCTGTAATAAAGACCAGTCACTGCTGCTCTCTTTCCTTGTGCAGGGTGGTTGGTCTTGTCTCCGCCCCCCTCATGTAGTAGGTGGAGCCTCCTAGGCCTCTCCCTCAGCTCTTCACAGGCTATGCACAGCACAGTGATGATGTCACAGCTACTTTCACAAATAATATCTGGGACTTGCAAAGGCATTTGGCGCACAGAGAGTAGCTTTATATCCTTAGTGAGGAATACAAGTCTGTGCCCGGAGTTCAGCCTTAACCAGATCCGGACAAATGGCCAAAGTCTGCCTAAAAACAATAAACCTGGTGCCTTGCTTCAAGCCTCCCTGCAGTCAGTAGAAACCCTGTGCGGTGGTTCTGTATTCTTACCTGCTGCCAGAGTGACAATAATTCTTCCCACTTGCTGCAGATGCCACCTGTCGTCCTATTGTAGCAGACATGATCTGTGTGTGGTCACCTCTTATTCGGCTTGATTGGCGCCTCGCCGCGTGCAGTATACGGCATAATTTCATGTAGTTTACCTCCGACCAGCCCTCTGCTCTTGTTGCTGATGGATATTGATTGGTTGGTTTCCTTGGTGCCTGTATTCTATAATCTAATGATTGATCCTTCGCCCCAATCTCCACTCAATCAACGTAACCAGCAAGTGTACGGACATCAGAGCCAAAGAGCATCGACCCACCGTCTGGTATCTGGTACCGACCAATAAGAATTTATCTTTTACCAGTCAGACGACACTAGTACACTAGTAAACTGAAATCCCATTGGCTGCTCTGTAGGGCGATGCCTTATTCAACATCCGATGAACGCTGATCACCTCTTCCTGGTAGCTGTGTAGATCTGCATGACATGGAACATAGGAGTATTAACAGGGCTCCCCTCTGATGCAATCCATCTGAAAGAAAAAAAAAATCCACCTTGATATTGCTGAATTGTGCACTTTTGGAGTTCTGCTTTAAAGCAGATGTATATGCTAATAGTGCCCCCCCCGCCACACGCGCACACCTTATTTCTGCTTATCGTGCCCCAGTAGGCTCACACAGCAGCTTCAGTACTTGATGGGACCACTTCCATCCTTGGAGCTGGTCATGTGATTGCATGCCAAGGCACTGGTCACATGATCTTAGTTGAAGGGTTGGGACAGGTGTTCAGGCGGAGCTGGTGAGCTTTGGCGGAGGAGAGGTCGCTGTCCTGGTGTTGCACATCGGTGGGTCCTGTAGATGATGATGATGATGATGTCATCTTCCCGTTTTCTCACATTCTATACAATAACTACTTCTCACTTTTTTAACAAAGTTCTTTATTTTTTCACATTCTTCCTCCGTCATCGGAGATTAAATCTGCACAACGTTTTATTACTTTTTATATCTTGTTACTATATTGTTGTTTTTTTTTGTTCTTATTCTACCCGAGGGATGAGCAAACTCCGGCTGTTGTGGAACTACAGGTCCCATGAGGCATCACAGCCACGGGCATGACTCCCAGAGGCAGATACATGATGGGAGTTGTAGTGTCACAGCAGCTGGATGGTCCGGCGTTTTCCCGCCTCTTTTTCCTAGTGGGTAGATGAATTGTTAATGGATTTTTTTGGGGGGGATGGGCGTCTGAAATGTAATCGCAGCCAAAGTATATAATGTACCAACTGAGGCCGCGTTGTCTGTGATGTCACCAGCTGCTGATGATTTTATTGGCTGCCGCTGTGTAAGGTGCTCTCTAATGTTCTCGTGTTTTATACAATGTAACTTTTCATATCAATACTGTGTGTGTGTCTCGTGTCCTCCTGTGTCTCGTGTCCTCCTGTGTCTCGTGTCTCTCTAATGTTCTCGTGTTTTATACAATGTAACTTTTCATATCAATACTGTGTGTGTGTCTCGTGTCCTCCTGTGTCTCGTGTCCTCCTGTGTCTCGTGTCCTCCTGTGTCTCGTGTCCTCCTGTGTCTCGTGTCCTCCTGTGTCTGTTCTCGGGATGCAGAGACGTCCAGTTTACTACATTCTGACGCCCCTTCACGCCAAGGTGGCTGCAGAAGTTAATAAGGGCGGTTTTGGGTGTTTTTTTTTTTTAAATTGCGTTTCAGCGCTGATTCCGGCGCAGTTACATTGAAAGCTGTATGGAAACCGCCCTGATCAGTGCGGCCAAAACGGGTCCGGGAGCAATTCGGGCGGCAGGTGGTTCGGATTGCGCAGAGCCACTCGGTCGCATGAACGGTCCCCATAGCAATGTATGGGATCGTTCATGTGGGCGGATCCACGTGGCCGAACCGCCCCGGTGTGAACGGGGCCTGAGACCGCTTTTTTTATTTTTTTTTATTTTTATTTTTATTTTTATTTTTTTTTTATTCATTCATTCGATACATTTCATTCTCTTCTGTACAATAAATTTGACGCGTTTTGTGTCTGTTTTTGGTTACAAAATATATAATTAACACAAATGATTTCCTACATTTGGGATGTTTTAAGATTTTTCTATTTGTTCTTATATATAGACATGTTGTGCTGATTTATAAACCTTCTATATAAAGCTGATCCACCTACATCTGACTTCCGTGTCTTATTGTTCTCCTTCATCCAGGTCATGGTATATCAAGTTATAGTTCACAGCTACAGTGCGTTCGGGCCCGGAACGCACTGGATCGCATTGCGGCCGGCTCACTTTGTGTTGGGGCGGGAGCGTGGCGGTGCATTGAAGTGAATGGCACCGTAGCCACGCCCTCTGGCTGCAATGCGATCGGCCGCACGGGAATGCGTGGCACAGCAATGCCTGCGTTCCAGGGCAGGAAAA